AGAAAATGTTATTTTAGTGCCAGGAATGTCTGCTTTGTTTATTCTGGACCCTATTTTGAAATTGGCATCTGCTGAAATTTGTGTGAAATCGGCCAAATTGCCAATTTCTGACCACTTTATTGGGTAGTTGAAATAAGTGAGGCAGTTTCTTGTACTCAGTTGACAGACTAGAAGTAAATAAGTTTATTCAGGTATACACAAATACAGTTACATGATGATTTTGTCAGCCCTGCACTAAACTACTACAGTGGAACCCCAGTTTTCACACGCTCCAGTTATCGGACATTTCAGTTTTAGCACCATTTTCTGTGCGAAAATTTGTTCCAGATATCGGACCTTGATCTGGTAATTGGACATATTAATCTCGTCCGCCCACCTCAGCATTGTAATCCTTATAGAGAATAAACTTTGAATTTGAATTGGTCGAGTAAGCATTACTACATGCATTCCAAAACATTTCATAATACAGTGGACCCCCGGTTAACGATTTTAATCCGTGCAAGAGGGGTAATTGTTATGCGAAATAATCGTTATGTGAATGAATTTTCCCCATAAGAAATAATGGAAATAAAATTAATCCGTGCAAGACACCCAAAAGTATGAAAAAAAATTTTTTTTTACCACATGAAATATTAATTTTAATACACACAAACTGAAAAAGGCATGCACACTTACATGACACTTACTTTTATTGAAGATCTGGTGATGATTGATGGGATGGGAGGAGGGGAGAGCATTATCTTCTTACTGTTTAGAAGGGAATCCCCTTCCATTAGGACTTGAGGTAGTAAGCCCTTTTCTGGGGTTACTTCCCTTCTTTTTTAATGCCACTAGGCCAGACTTCAGAGTCACTGGACTTCTTTCGCACAAGTATCTGTCCATAGTGGCCTGTACCTCTCGTTCCTTTATCACTTCCCTAAAGTGTTTTCACAACATTGTCAGTGTAATAGTCACCAGCACGGCTTGCAATAGCTGTGGTGAGGGTGATTTTCATCCATGAAGGTTTGCACTTCAAGCCACTTTGCACAGATTTCCTTATCTTTGTAGTAGGCAACTTCTTCAATTTTCTCTCTCCCCTCCTCTGAACCAGTTTCCCCAGGTCTGGCCTCTGCTCTTGAAGTTGATCTATCAGCTCATCAGTGGTTAGTTCTTCATTGTCCCCTCCACCAACTCTTCCACATCCTCCCCTAACCTCCAACCCCAAGGACTTTCCCAATGCCACAATGGATTCCTCAACTGGCATACTCCTCTCAGGGTTAGCCTCAAACCCTTCAAATCCCTTTGGTCTACACATTCTGGCCACAGTTTCTTCCAAGCAGAGTTCAAGGTCCTCTTAGTCACTCCCTCCCAAGCCTTACCTATAAGGTTTACACAATTGAGGATATTAAAGTGATCTCTCCAAAACTCTCTTAGAGTCGGTTGAGTTTCTGAGGTCATTACAAAGCACCTTTCAAACAGAGCTTTTGTGTACAGTTTCTTGAAGTTGGAAATAACCTGCTGGTCCATGGGCTGCATGAGAGGAGTGGTATTAGGAGGCCAAAAACTTCACCTTAATGAATTTCATGTCCCCATAAAGTCGCTCTGCCACGTCTGTAGGATGACCAGGGCCATTGTCTAACACCAGGAGGCACTTAAGTTCTAATTTCTTTTCAGTTAGGTAATCTTTCACATTGGGGGCAAATGCATGGTGTAACCAGTTATAGAAAATTCCTAGTGACCCATGCCTTACTGTTTGCCCTCCACAGCACACACAAATTATCCTTGAGGACATTCTTTGCCTGAACGCTCTGGGAGTTTCAGAGTGATACACTAATAAGGCTTCACTTTGCAATCACCAGTAGCATTGGCACACATGAGAAGAGTAAGCCTGTCTTTCATAGGCTTATGTCCTGGGAGTGCCTTTTCCTCCTGAGTAATGTAGGTCCTGCTGGCATTTTCTTCCAGAACAGGCCTGTTTCATCACAATTAAACACTTGTTCAGGTTTCAGTCCTTCAGTTTCTATATACTCCTTGAATTCCTGCACATATTTTTCAGCTGCTTTGTGGTCCGAACTGGCAGCCTCACCATGCCTTATCACACTATGGATGCACTACGCTTCTTAAATCTCTCAAACCAACCTTTGCTGGCCTTAAATTCACTCACATCATCACTAGTTGCAGGCCTTTTTTTAATTAAATCGTCATGCAACTTCCTAGCCTTTTCACATATGATCGCTTGAGACGCTATCTCCTGCTAGCTGTTTTTCATTTATCCACACCAATAAGAGTCTCTCAACATCTTCCATCACTTGCGATCTTTGTTTCGAAAACACAGTTAAACCTTTGGCAAGAACAGCTTCCTTGATTGTCTTTTTGGTGCCCACAATAGTAGCGATGGTTGATTGGGGTTTCTTGTACAACTTGACTAGGTCGGCAATACGCACTCCACTTTCATACTTATCAATGATCTCTTTCTTCATTTCAATGGGTATCCTTACCCTTATTGGTGTACGGTTGGCACTAGAAGCTTTCTTGGGGCCCATGGTCACTTATTTTCCAGAAACACCACCGAAAACACTGTAATAATACGAAATATTCCGAGTGTATGCTTGGATGTTAGCGCGGAGGCTGCCTGGTAAACAATGGCACGGGCGGCACATGTGAGGCTGGGTGAGGGTGCACATTAGACGCGTCTCGGACGAAAATCGGTGAGCGGGTTTTTAATCGGTATGCGCGGCAAAAATTTTGCGATTAAAGTAAGCGGTATGCGAAATAATCGCTATGTGATGCCATCGTTATGCGGGGGTCCACTGTAATCCCTTATTTTTGGTGCTTGTTTATTAACTGTGACTGCAAAATAAGCCACCATGGACCCAAAGAAACTTCCTAGTGCCAGCCAGCCCTTTGGTAAAGGGCTGAGAGAGAGGAGAGAATGTGCCTTCCTCAGTGATTCTACAATATGTACGATACTCAAGCAGCAGGAGTCGATAAAGGCTATAATGCCAGCCAGCAATAAAGTGTAACAAGTTAAGTGATTAAGCGATAGCAAAATGACGGCATGAAACTGACTCCTCCATTGTTGTTTGAGGTACAGTGGACCCCCGGTTAACGATATTTTTTCATTCCAGTAGTATGTTCAGGTGCCAGTACTGACCGAATTTTTTCCCATAAGGAATATTGTGAAGTAGATTAGTCCATTTCAGACCCCCAAACATACACGTACAAACGCACTTACATAAATACACTTACATAATTGGTCGCATTTGGAGGTGATCGTTAAGCGGGGGTCCACTGTATATAGGGTCAATGACAACACCGCCGCCACTGCCAAGACTATATGTATGGCTTATGCTGTAATGATATATTTTATTTATTCTAGAGTATATATCATGTTTCTATGTTATTAATATTGTTTATTATGTCATATCAGATCAATTGTGATAGATATATAAGCTGTAGAGTTGATATTATTGTCATATTGAGGGAGTATTTTGTCCTGCCTCCAAACAAACTCTCCGCCTCTGCCACCAATAGCCACAAACGTAATGGCACGTTTTATTCATTCTAGAGTGTATTACAGGTTTCTATATTATTTATAACGCTTATTATGTTATATTAGATCAATTGTGATAGATAAATAAGCTGTATAGTTGATATTAGTGTCATATTCTTTAAAAATTATTTTTTTTGTGAATATTTTTGGGTGTATGGAACGGATTAATTGTATTTACATTATTTCTTATGGGAAATACTGATTCAGTTTCCACACATTTCGGTTTTAGAACGACTTTCTAGAATGGATTAAGTTAAAAAACCGGGGTTCCACTGTACCATAATATCACTTTGTAATTATAGTCTACAAGTGTGACTATGGTAGTCTGTGAGGAGGAACTTAAAGCATTTACAAAGCAGCATCATCACCATTTTAACCTTGTATTCAAAGGTGCATGTAATAAGTCAAAGTTTGCATGAACATGTTCTACACCTACTTTTCCTTTATTCAATACATCTAAGGTTTAATTATTTTCCAGGGATATGTGAAGAGTAGAGTACTGTACTTTGAATCTGTCTTGCACATTATATCCCACAGTTTGTCTCTAACTTTTCTGTTTTAAGTAATTAGCAGATTTTACATTATTTTTTAATTTCATGTAAACCAATTTAAATGGAAACAATATCCTTTGCATCTTTTACATAATTTAAATTACATAATCAGAGCTGTTATGCTATTCTTAGTTCATTTCAGAACCTAGTCCTATCTAAGGTGTACTGTGTAAAGTGTACTTTGCATTTTCCTCTCATTCTAGATGCAACTAAGAAGTAATAACAAACCACCTACTTACTGCTAGATGAACAGGGGCAGCAGGTGTAGAGACACTCACTCATTTGTCATGCCCTGCTAGGAACCTACTCTAGGTCTTACAGGTTTTGACCAGAGTACATTATTGTGTTACAAAACACCTACTGCATGATCAGCTTTGTTTAATAATGTACATGCACTGGGTACAATCTGTCACCAATATAAATTTTTTAAGCGAGTTAAAGAATACATTACTTCATTAAACAAAGCAGTGTGAAAACATATCCAAGCACAACCCAGTACAGTCTTGTCAACAAACTTTAGCCAGGAGAATAACTGTAATTATCAACATATTTTAACTAATATGTACAGTACCCTCAACTCTTACCCTTAATATTAACCCGTAAACGGTCCAAACGTATATATATGTTTTTACCGCTAGTGCCCCAAACATATATATACGTTTTATGTGTCCTACATTTAACATGGCCACGATAAGCCTGAGTCGCCTAGACATGTGAGAATGGGTGTAAGCACTCACTGTGCACCATATTAAAATAATTGGGGATGCCTAGGTACCATATGCTCTTTTTTCCTATTAAAAAACAACAATGTTTTTTTTCTCAAAAAAAGTTGGGGCAGTACGGTAGTGAACGTATATATACGTTTGGACCGTTTACGGGTTAAATAAAAAGATTAGAAATACAGAATCAGTAATTACCTGGTTCCCTGACATGTACATGGACATCGATGAGTCCTGGTAGCTTGACAATGCGACGAGAGGTGACACAGTCAACATGGGTCTTCAGGTCAGGAGCTCCTCCAATCAGACGTAATGCCTGAAAAGTGTTAGTTGCTCTTACAAAACCATAACAACATTATTGCAAACAAATCACTAAGTGGGTGGGGCTTCAACTCATGGCCTGTGTGTTAGGACTCATTTACCATGGGTTCGAGTCTCACCCATTCAGTGATATTTTACTTGTTCTTAATACTTAAAAACACTCAAGGTAAACCCATGCAGTATAACCCAAAGCTGGTAGAGATAATAATGTTCAGTAACTAACTCTTCTCCCTAAGAGATTAGTAACATCCAAGAGCAAAGTAGTGTACTGCCAAAGTTCCCAATCAATAAAGGTATGTACATATTTAAATTATAGAACACCAACAACTCCATAGAAGACACAGCTCAGTATGGTGATTTGTGCAGTTATGATCAACATCCAAACTATATACAAACATTTACTGATCCATACTGTAAATGCTATAAACTATCTAGAGACTTTGTATAATGTTTATCCTTTAAAATAAATTTAAGGTAAGCCCTACAGAGCGATATATATATAAATACAGGTGTCCCATAGCTCGATCGCTAGTGCACTCAGCTCACATATTGAGGTCCAGGGATCAATCCCCAGTACGGATGGAAAACGCTTGGACGTGTTTCCATAAGACACCTGCTGTCCCTGTTCACCCATCAGTAAACTTGGTACCTGGGTGTGGGTCACATCCTGGGACAAAAGTGACCTAATTTGCCTGAAATGCTCTGCATAACAAGCACTTTCTATATACTAGTGTGTCTTTGATGTCTGCTAGGCCTGTATACCTTGTACTTGTAGAAATAAAGATATTATTAATAAGTTTGATATGCATGTAATGTCAAGTGGAAATACTGTATTACATTAATGTGTACAGTATTACTGTACCAACTAGGAATAATACAAATATACAGAACTTGACACTTCTTCATGGTATACACAATACAGACAAACAATACAGTGGTATCTTGACTTACAAGTTTAATCTGTTCCGTGACCTAGCTCGTAACTCAATTTGCTCATATATCAAATCAATTTTCTTCACTGAAATAAACTGAAATGCCATTACAGTGGACCCCCAGTTCGCGATGCCATCGCTATCCGATAAATCCGGTACGCGATGCATTATATCGCAAAAAAATTTGCCTCGGTTCCCGTTACAAAACCCGGTATACGCGATTCGTCCGAGACGTGTCCACGTGTGGCATGAACTGCCCAGTGTGTGTGCCAGTGTTTACAAGCCAGCCAGTATGCTCTAAGGATACATTCGGTACATTCCATATTATCACAGTGTTTTTGGTGCTTGTTTCTGCAAAGTCACCATGGGCCCCAAGAAAGCTTCTAGTGCCAACCCTTCGAGACCAAGGGTGCTAATGACTATTGAAATGAAGAGAGAGAGAATTGCAAAGTACAAAAGTGGAGTCGGAGCTGGCCAAGTTGTATACAAAACCCCAATCAACCATCTCTACTATAGTGACCAGAAAAACAACAATCAAGGAAGCTGTTGTTGCAAAAGGTGCAACTGTGATTATGAAACAGCAACTGCAAGTGTTAGAAAATGTTGAGAGAATGTTTTTGGTGTGGATAAATGAAAAACAGATAGCAGGAGATAGCATCTCTCAAGCAATCATTTGTGAAAAGGCTAGGCAGTTGCATGACGATTTGGTAGAAAAATTGCCTGCAACTAGTGCTGATGTGAGTGAATTTTAAAGGCCAGAAAAGGTTGGGTTTAAAAAGATTTAGAAGTAGTGGATACATAGGTGTTAGGCATGGCGAGGCTGCCAGTTAGACCAAAAAGAGCGAAAAACTGTGAAGGAATTCAGGAAATCATAGACGTGGACTTGAAACCGAAAAATTTTAAATTGCGACAAAACGGGCCCTTTTGGAAGAAATTGCCAACTGTACATTACTCAGGAGGAATGGGCACCCCAGGAAAAAAAACCCAATGAAAGACGGGTTACTTTCTGAGTGTGCCAATGCTAGTGGTAAAGCGGAAACCTTTATTGGTGTATCACTCAAAACCCCCAGAGCGTTAGGCAAAAAAATTCCTCAAGGCTAATTGTGTGTGGTGGAGGGCAAACACCAAGGCATGAGCACTGGGGGACTTTTTCTATGACGGTTACCCCAGAATTTGCCCCTAATGTAAAAAATTTCCCTAATTGAAAAAAATTAGACCTTAAGTGCCTCCTGGTTTTAAAACTGCCCTGGTCTTTCTCAGATTTGGAGAGCGCTTTCGAGCGCCACCACCCATCCCCCTGACACCCCTTCCCATTCCCGACACCCCATAATCCCTCGACACACCAACCCATCCCCCACTCCAACCCTAAAAACCCTGACACCCAATATCCATTCCCTGACACCACCATCCCCCCCTGAAACCCCCATCCCATCCCTGACAACCACCCCCCCCCCCCTGACACCACCATTTCCCCCCTGAAACCCCCCCCTCCCCTGACACCACCCCCAAAACCCCCCCGACACCATCCCCCCCTGAACCACCATCCCTCCCTGACCCACCCCCCCCCCTGACACCCCATCCCCCCCCCTGACATAACCCTCCCATCCCCTGCACCCCATCCCCCCCCCAGACCCACCTCCCATCCAATGACACCTCCCACCCCCCGACACCACCCCATCGCTGAACACCTCCCCTTCCCAGACACCCTCCCACCCCGACACACCATCCCCCCCCCTGACACCCCAATCCCCCCCTGACACCACCATCCCTCCCCCGAACCCCCATCCCATCCCCCCGACACCACCACAATCCCCTGACACCCCCATCCCCAAACCCCCGACCCACCATCCCCCCCTGACACCACATTTATCCCCCGACACCACCATTCACCCCCGACACCCACCCAACCCCCGACACCACCATTACCCCCCGACACCACTACATCCCGACACCACCCTTCACCCCCCCGACCCTATCTACCCGACACCCCCTCCACCCCGACACCCCACCCCCTCCCACCCTTGCACCCCCCCATCCCCCGACACCACCATTCCATCCCCCGAACCACCCCACCCATGACACCACCCTCCCCCCGACACCCCCATCCCATCCCCTACACCCATTCCACCCCCCGACACAAACCCTCCCACCCCCTGAACATCCCCCCATCCCATTCCCCTGACACCACCATTCCATCCCTGACACCACCATTCCATCCTGACACCACCATCCATCCCCCGACACCACCATCCCATCCTGACAACACCCTCCAACCCCTGACACCACCACCCACCCCTGACACCACCACCACCCCCGACACCAACCCACCCCTGCCTCACCCATCCCACCCCCGACACCCCCCATCCCCCCCCCTGACACCCCCACCCACCCCCCTGACACCACCATCCCATCCCCTGACCCACCATCCTCCCTGACACACCATCCCTTCCCCGACACCACAATCCTCCCGACACCACCTTTCCCCCCCCAACACCACCAATCCCCCCCTGAAACCCATCCCATCCCCTACACCACACCAATACACCATCCCCTGACACCACCATTTCCCATCCTCCCTGACACCACCATCCCATCCCTGACAACAACCCATCCCATCCTGACACCATCCCAATCCCCTGACACCACCATTCCCACTCCCCTGACACACAACCACCACCCCTGACACACCATCCATCCGCTTCCCACACCTTTCCCCTCCCGAACCACCATTCACCCTACACCCCCCATCCCACCCCCTGACACAACCACACCCATCCCAGACACCACCATCCCATCCCTGGCACCACCATCCCACCCCCTGACACCACCATCCCACCCCCTGACACCACCATCCCACCCCCTGACACCATCCCATCAACGACACCACCATCCCACCCCTGAAAACCACCATCCATCCCCCAAAACCACCATCCCATCCCCTGACACCACCATCCCACCCCATGACACCACCATCCCACCCCCTAACATCACCCTTTCCACCCCCTGACACCACCATCCCACCCTCTGAAACCCCCATCCCCCCCCTGACACCACCTCCATCCCCTGACAAAACCCCCATCCCATCCATGACACCACCATCCAATCCCCTGACACCACCACCCACCTTTGACACCCCATCCCATCCCCTGACAACCACCATCCCACCCCTTGACACCACCATCCCACCCCTTGACACCACCATCCCATCCCCTGACACCACCATCCAACCCCCGACACCCCCATCCCCTTTCCCCTGACACCACCATCCCTTCCCCCGACACCCCCAATCCCTTCCCCCCCGACACCACCATCCCTTCCCACGAAACCACCATCCCATCCCCTGAGAAAACCTCCCATCCCCTCACACCAACATCCCATCCACTGACACCATCCCATTCCTGACACCATCCCCTTCCTGACAAACCCTCCCATCCCCCGACACCACCATCCCATCCCCGACACCACCATCCCATTCCTGACACCATCCCATCCCCTGCACCACCCCATTCCGACACCATCCCAACCCTGACACCACCATCCCACCCCTGACACCATCCCATCCCCTGACACCATCCCATTCCTGAAAACCGTCCCATACCCTGACACCACCATCCACCCTGAAACCACCATCCCCCCCCCTGAGACCCCCATCCAACCCCCTGACACAACATCCCATCCCCGACAACCATTTCCCATCCACCGACACCACCACCCATCCCCTGACACCACCATCCCATCCCCTGACCACCATCCCATCCCCGACACAACCATCCCATCCCCCGACACCACCATCCCATCCCCCAAAAACCATCCCTCCCCCGACACCACCATCCCATCCCCCGAACCATCCCCTCCCCGACACCACCCCCATCCCCCGACACCACCATCCAAACCCATTGACACCCCCATCCCATCCCCCCCACCACCATCCCTCCCCCAACCACCATTCCTCCCCCAAAAAGCCTCCCATCCCCTGACACCACCATCTAAACCCCCAAACCACCCTCCCTTTCCCCCGCACCTCCCCCATCTCCCCACACCCCATCCCATCCCCCCCAAACCC